TGGCCGTCAAGCGCCCCGCCGCCACCGTCAGGTCGAAAATCAAGGTAAGCGCGCCCCGAGGCCCCGACCCTCCCCGCAGCGAGGGCTCAAGGCGTCGGGGAGGATGGAAGCGGGTTAGGGCCGCGCTCGCTCTGCTGAAAGCCCCCCTCTTCTTCTGCGTGGGCTGAGCCGCTTCATCCCACGCGCGCCTCTTGCCAGAGGTGATGGTGCCCATCCCAAAAGCTGAGACCGATGCCCGCGAGAGCAGCCGGAGCGAGCTAGGTGTAGGACGTAGGACGGCAGCAGCAAGGCAAACCTCATCTGCGATATACCACCGTCTTCCAGTGCCCTTAGCCCTGCTGGGACATGCTGCCGCTGACCTGCTTGGCTCAGGTCCTGCAGGAGATCCAAACCCAGCCAGGAAGGACCAGCCCTGGCAGCCAGGAGGCAAGCCCCACAACGCGTGGGTGGATCCCCTGTGTAACATGGGGCCTTCTTGAAGGGCCTTCTTCTAGATCGTGGCCAAGCCCTCACCAAAGAGGTCTGCAGCGCGTTTTTTTTCCCCCAGCCCCCTCCTCTCTTGACTTATCAGCACAGCAGCTAGGAAAAGGTCCTTTTCCGTACCTCGGGAAGGCAGAGTAGGGATTTCACTCCGAAGGCTGAAGGCAAATTGATCACGGGCTCTTCGCCGTGCGCGAATGCCTGCCCAACCACCCACCACCCCTCAAAGCATCTGGTGATGCACACGGGGTGGGAGGAGAAAGCGCAGCGCAGGACCCTGTCCAGCTCCTAAGAACATCAAGGATTCTCCTTAACAGAGGTGGCATCAGGTCCGCGGGCCCCCTCTGTGCTGCCAAATAAGGGATGTGTTTTGCCAGTGGGTCTGCGCTGAGATTACAGTGTTTTAGCCATCAGGTTAGTAAACTCGTGATTAAATACTACATTTTTGCTCTGCTTATATAGATGGCCACAGGGAGGTGGAGTCCTACCTGCAGCCCAATAGACACTTTCGGTTTGCTCCCCCTCTAGCTTCACACGTTGCTTTGCAGCTAGCTTGTGTTTTCCCTTCCTCTTTTCTTTACCAACCATTCCTGATAGCGTTGCTTCCTTCATGATAAGGAGGGGGATCACGAAAAATACCTGGCCCCTCAGGAAGAAGAAACCCAACGCTTACTCATTTCTGTACCAAGAGCTGGCTTCGTTGCTCCACTAGAAACGCTTTGAATCTGCTTTGGGTCTGACAAAAAGCACCGCTCCAAGGCTCGGTTTTACAGAGTTAGCGCCGGAGAGAAGGCGCATGCGGGCAGAGGCGAGACAAGCTGGGAACTTGGGCTTACTTTTCACCCGGACTATGGAAGCTCTGCTGGGATGTAGTCATACTTTTCCCCCCACTGTTTTACTTAAGCCTCCTTCTTATGTTTTCATCTGCGCTGCTAGCGAAAGGCCCGGTGAAGGCCACGAGAAAACCTGTTTCGTTAACCTCATTTCTGCAGAGTTGGGTTTTCTAGGAACGCCACAGAAAGTTGCCCACGGTGCCGCAAGCGCTGATAGCACCGCACACGCCTGTCATCCGCTTTCTTTCACCTGCGTTCAACAGCCAGTAGGAGCGAGCGCATCCGCTAGGCTATTAATTACAGCGCTCGCGGGCCCGGCCGGTTGCACGTTCTTCCCAGGAGCTCAGTCGTCCGTATCTCTCTTAGGGAAGTCAGGTCACGGCGTCAGCGCAACGTTTTTGGTATTGGAGCAGCGAATGAAGAGATTAACCCGTCCCGACGCTCTGAAGTGAATTAACGAGCAAGGGAGACTCTGGGGCCGTTGTCTCAATCCCTGCTGAGTCAACGCAGCAGCGTTGCTTTGCTTTATCCAACCAAGTTTACCTTCACAGTCAGCATCGCCCTCCAGCTTTTTCGGGGGGAGGGTTGAAAAGTCTTCAGTGGCGACATTTTCCAGGGAAATCCTTAGCGGGAAACCATGACCTGAGACGTGTGGAAAAGCTATGCTGGACTCGAAGAAAGCTTTTTTTTTTTTAAGTTGGCCCAGGCCGTGTTTGCAGGTAGGAGCGCTTTGGGCACAAGCTAAGGGCTGTGACTCACCTTGGCTGGGCAAACAGCTGCGGTGGCTGACCGTGTGGTCCGCCAGGGCTTGTGTCCCCAAGCGGTCGGGGGCAGGGGACGTGTGCCCGCACCTCCGTTGCTGCCCTCCGCAGTTGGGCTGTTGGCCCCTTGGTCCCTTCGGCTGACTCCCCCTAGAGAAGAGGCGATGGGGGAAGCGGTTGGGCCCCGGAGCAGGTTTTAACTGGGTGGGGGGCCGCAGGGCGGCACAGCGTCTGTCGCAGGCTCAAAGCGTGATTTTGGACCAGCTTGACTTGACAGCATCGCTTCCTGCTTTTTGTCTGCAGCCATGTCTCATTTTGGTTGGGAAGAGGTTTAAGCTAAGCTTTAAATACAGAGCCACGCTGACAGCAGGCTACGTGTGTGTGTTGTGGGGGGGTCACTCCTCTAACAATTCCTCTAGGGCTCATAAGGCTTCGCTGTAGAGATTAGGCCTTTTGGGGGCACACGTGCCCTATAGACAAGAGGTGTCTTCTTTTAACCTTGCTGAGTTGGGGCCTGACAGCATGAAAAGAGGAGGCAGTGGCATGATTTTGGCCTGCTGGTTGGTTTTCTAGGTATGCATTCAGTGTCCATGCTAGCTAGAAGAATGATTCACGAGGGCGTACCGACACAGGAGAGTCACGCTTCTCGTTGCTCTGCACATGGAGCTTTTAGTTACCTCGGTGCAGCCTTCTCGTGCCAGGAAGGGCCTCCGGTCCCTGTTCGAGATATTATCTGAATGCATGAACCTGTGCAGATGTGGCCCGAAGGACAGCCGTTCATAGACTGAGCACATGTGCGAAGTACATAGTTTGATAAGGGTCCATGTCTCTGGAAGCCATCCAGAGCATGGTCTCTGCTGTAACCGCTGAAGTCAAGGTTGCCAGTACGCATCACCAGGTGTCCACCTAACACCATCAGGCGAGCCATGGGTATTTCTCCACGTGCCTATATACACGGTCAATAGGAGCAAGGCATCCCGAGAAGGTCAACCAGGACATTGTGGAACTTCCTCCCGTTTTCTGTCGTGACTTGAACCATCAGATGTTGGGCCAGGAGGAACGGCGGTGTAGGGACGTGGTGTTGCGGTTAGATGGGATGGGATGGTTTTACTCTTTAAGCAAGGGTAGTGCTCAGGGCACGCACAGCTTGCAAGAGGGAGAACAGTTAGTGGATAGATGGCCGCTCCTTAGCCGTGGCCCCGTGTGTGCACGTGATTGCGCGTGGTGCTCCTTGGGCATCACAGGCCTCTTGCGCCCTGGTTAGACCTGTGTTGGGCTGAAGTCTGTCTTGGACACCTTATTGCAAGGGACGTGTGATGATTTCACCCAGGAAGAATCTCTCCTGAATATTTTCACTTCTCATTTTGAATTTATACCAAGGGTTTTTTTCACGAAGCAATGAGCAAGCCCTCCTCCTTTCTTTTGGGGCGGGGGGTGTCAGTCTTTTTTGCCATGTTGACACCTACTCACCCAGTGCTGTTCCGTTTCCCAGTTCACCACTGGCACCTGCAACGACGCTGCGATGCATAGCTGTGAGCTGTGCGGCAAAGGCTTTCGTCTGCAGCGCATGCTCAACCGTCACATCAAGTGTCACAGCCAGGTGAAGAGACACTTGTGCACGTTCTGCGGGAAAGGCTTCAACGACACCTTTGATCTGAAAAGACATGTCCGGACCCATACTGGTGAGAATGCTTTACCAAAGTGTTTTGCAGACAGCCCTGGGCTATTCAGAATAACCAGAAGTGGGAGAAAGGGTGAGAAGGGAGGGTGAGGGTAACCCAACCTGATAACACAATATGCAGGGAAACAACCTTTGCAAAAATGTAATGGGGATGTGATGGAGACAAGGAAGAGACAAGAGTCTGTGAACAGAGAAACTCCTGGAATTAATGAAATCTGAGGAGAACTAGTGAAATCCGTGTGAAGCCCTGGGGGTGCACAGGCTTACACGCAGCCTGTGTGCTGCTGCGCCTTGGCTAGCAAACCTGGCGAGCTGGGATTGCTGGTGGAGCTATCTCCCATGACATCGGGATAATCCAGCGTGGATTATCAAGGGCTGAGCGGGTACCGGTGAGTGACTGCAGGCATTCAACGAAAATGCTTTGCCCTCTAGAGGAAATGAGGAGCAGTTTTTTTTTTTTTGGTAAACCTTCACTGCGGGCCGATCCGTGGAATGGGATTATGGTTTGATTTTGGCACCCTCTGAAGGAACCAGACGTGGTTTCTGCTGTGCCTTGAGCTTCTTTAGGGAAACTAGACAACCCGTTCGACTTTGATCAGTCCTGCGTGCTGAATCCCCGTGGAGGGCGCAGGAGGCACTGTGGGGGTTTCTGAGCCTGCGTGCAGAAATTGCAAGAAATTAAGAAATGCAAGAGATGTATTAAGGAGTTTACATGACTCTGTTTTAGCTTTTGTGCCCTTGCACCTTTTTACAAATCAGATCTGAAGGACTATCTTCATTGTAAATGTGTTCATGTCAACATGAGCCATTTCCAGAACTGGAAGAAGGGTTCCTACAGGTTCAGATGGGTGTGTATAAACCTGCAAAGTCAAAATGGACATCCAGGGCCAAAGACAAATGTCCTCTTCTGTCTGAAATGGTGGGATTGGAGGTCGACAGCCCCAGCTGCTCCCCATTTCTTCCCTGCTCCAGTCCACCTCAAATCCAGTTCGCTGTCTGGTTACAGAAGTGCTTGTACTAACCAAGCAGGCAGAAGGCTGCCTTTTTTTCCTTTTTCTTTTTTTTTTTTTGTTCTATTTGAAGTGTTGGCTTAAATACATATCAACTCCATCCTCCCCAAACAGGACGCTCTTTAGTAAGGCAGCTGCCTGCATTCGGGAGGCTTTTAATTTGCACTGCGAGGCACTCAGAAGATGATCTCCATTGCACGTGCTGGGTGTACTCCAACTTCCCAAATTTCCAGTTTCCTACCACACCAACTGAATAATTGGGCTTGCTCTGCAGTATCCCTTCTCTTCGCTTAGGGGATCAGCCACAATTAACCAGGTTCCCACATAGAGGTTCAGCAACTATGTTGGTAGATGCGAGTTATTTCTTAGCAGTAGAACCCTTGTAAACATTGACACCTATTTTGATGCCAAAACATTGGCCAGAGCCAATGTTTGGGTCTGTTTTGCTCTGTCTGCAAAGCGCCACCGTAGCTTTCATGTGGGAAAGGAATCTGGATGTGACCGGGGAACTGCCTCGGAGGTTTGTCTCAACTGCAGAGAGTACGTGCTTCTAAAAGAAGTGATTTTTTTTTTTTCAACCTCTCACATATTTCTTTGAGATTCATAAACTTAACTCCAAGCGAGTCCGTGAACAGAAGGTGAAAGTAGATGTGCTATGCCTGATAGACTTGAATTCACCATGCAGGGTTGGAAGTGATTTTGGAAAACCACGGAAGCGAAGGAGGAGGATCTTTGTGCTGGGCGGGGGTGAAAACCACTGTCCTGGAGACGTGACTCGTATGGTTAAACTGTCCATCAGTTTACTGGAAGAAACCTGACTTCACTATTTCTCCTCTCTAGTCTAAGACAAGATGAACGCTGTATAGGCTGTATTTTCCTGAGCAAAGCCTGTGCTTTTTCTTCTAGGTTTTGCCTTTCACGTTGGATATGTTCCTTGGGTATCATGCCCGATTTCTCCACTCCACTTTGCTTTCACTGCCCTTGCAGATAGTGTGGTGCTTTTTCAGGTCAGCATGATTCAGGCGGGTACAGGTCGTACGGGTAGGGTTTCCCTTGGTGCACAGGGTGTAGCGTTGTGTCTTTGGCATGCGTCTTTTCCAGGCTGAAAAAGGCATCTTTGAAAGCAATGGATTTTGATGTTGCAATTTATTGTTGGTCAGGAAAGCTGGGCTTTATGTGAATATTAAAAAGAAGTCAGGCTGGGGCCGAAAGTGGTAGCGTGGGCATTCTTATGTAGCAAGAGCTGCTCGCGTACATGTGGTTTCTTCAGTTTTGGCATTCCAGTGGAAACGGTGAGCTAGCCTGATTATTCTGCAGTGTGTGTAGCCAGACTTTGTGACAGTCTGGTAGTATCGGAGAGCACGAAAGCCAAATACACCTAACTAGTTTCATGGCATGAGCAGAGTAAGATGTTAAAAAGTAATCTAGACAGCAAAATCGACTTTTAAAATAATTCCAAAGTGATGGAAAGGCATGGTTCCTTCCTGTCGGATTGCTGATGCTGATCTAAGCCTGGGCTAATGCTGGAAAGGGAGAGACCCAGCCTTCCCAGCATGATGGTCTAACCCTCTCCTGCGCTGGCACTGGTGCCTGTGAAGGACTATGGGCATCGGGAGCCTGTGCACTGAAGATTTAAGTTGACTTAAGCTGCGCATGAAATTGCCCGCTAAAATATTATTCATAAAAGATAAACTTTTGCATGTGAATTCTAACGAAGCTTTGGAATCACTCTCAAATTGCAGTTTAATATAATTTAAGTCGTTGAGGCAGTCTGACAGCAGCAGATGCTAGGAAAATATCTTTTCAGTCATGATTGTTTAAGCCAACACATTGGAACAAACTCATTCTTCAAGACTTGCAAAAATGCGGCCAAGATTCTTCCTATTGCAACCTCTAATTAGTTTGGGTTTCTGGTTTAAAAAAAAAAGACCAGCAGTTGAGTGGTAAACTTGACATGATTCAATTACAAAGTTATGAACCGTGTGTACGAGCGTGTGTATTTATTCCTTTTTGGCCTGGCTATTGCCTTAGCGCTGCTCTCGCATGCATTTCACCTCTCATTGCAAAACCAGGGTTTGTAAGTAGGACGTTGCATCCCTTTTAAGGCTGGTCTGTGCTTGAAAACCTACTGACCTACTCTGTAGAACCTCAAATCCCAGTTGCTTTAGTTTGTCTCAAGCGCTGATAAACCCTGCGCTATTTATCAGGAAAGTATCAGGGGGCTGTTGTTGTTAACTCAGTGAGGCTTTCTGGTAAAATGGATATTGTTTACTGCTTGGTACGTTTTATAATGCTGGTTGACTGTAGTAAATGAAACTGCTCAGAGGCTTTCAAATTAGAAGCCAGCCCCTTCTTCCCCTTAGAAGACACGCGTGCATTTTTTTTTTTTTCATCTTAATGCACTTGTTTTCACGTTTGGCGCTTGCAATGACAATAATCAAAACGATATTGTACAAAACCACTAGCACTCATTTGAATTAGTGTCATCACTATATGTTCACGTCCGGCAGCCGTTCGCTGCAGCATTAAGGTTTGCTCACTACAAGCAAAAAATTAAGAACTTACTCAGATACAAGATCTCATTCACTAAAAGAAAACGAAATGAAAGGTGGGCTGGAACCAACAGTTTTACCTAACTGCAGGACTCCAAGAGGGCTTTAAAGCAGTCAGTTTTGCAAGAGCTGCTAATGGTTTCTTCTTCAGGACCAAAGCGCTGATGGGCATCTGCCACATTCAGCATCTACTTAAGCCTCTTTGCAACATTTCTAGGTTTTATGGTGATATAATACATGAACCGTTTGTAAATATATGAACCCGTTTCTGAAAATCTTAGTCTAAAAGTAAGATCTTTTATTTAGACAGACGGTTCCTTGGGGTGTAGCTGCTACCTACTGCTGTGCATTTTGCTCAATATCTAATAATGCCGAGCCTTGTTCTCTGTTGATTCCCTAGCAGGCTATGATGAATTTAAATTTGAATGATAATCACCGTCTTTTAATCTTGTAGGAATTCGTCCTTACAAATGTGAGGTTTGCAACAAAGCATTTACCCAGCGGTGTTCTCTAGAGTCCCATCTTAAGAAGATCCACGGAGTGCAGCAACAATATGCCTACAAACAGAGGCGAGATAAACTCTATGTGTGCGAAGATTGTGGCTACACGGGCCCCACGCAGGAGGACTTATATCTGCATGTTAGTAATGTTCACCCCGGAAGTGCTTTCCTGAAAAAGACCTCAAAAAAACTTGCAGCAGTTTTGCAAAACAAACTGAGCCCTGTCCTTCAGAGGAACTCCAAAGAAGACGACAAAGATGAATAATGCAGCGGATTAGAGTGGTCTAAAGGAATGAAGTTTACACGCAGAACTATAAATATATTATTTTTTTAAAAACAATTTTGAAAGAAATCCCTGAAATAGTAGGGATGCTTGTTGTTAATGGGACTCTATTGATGTCGACGGAACCTCAACTTGAAAGAAATATTCCCTTGTATGACGCAAACATCGGACTTTTTCAATCAAAAAACAGAAAGCTTGGAAGAGGCTATGTCACCTAGTTAACGGGGTATTCACTGAAATGGCATTCAGACAACCCGTTTTCTGTTTCAGCTCTACCACCAGGCTGAGTGGCCACAGACAAGTAATTTCACCTTTCCCCAAAGCGTCACCCAAAAGAACTTTGGGTAGAAAGTGCCATGTAGGCGCAGCTGTTATTGTGGTGTTCTCAGATTAAAAAAAATAATTGAAATGGTTTTAAGGCTAAGAGTACATAGTGTCAGTAAATGAAGTTTAAATGCACAAAGAATCTTAGCTCTGCCCACCTGGGCAGTAAACTAATGATTTATGGATCTGTAGTCCAAGGTGAGCTGAAACAGACCTTTTTTTTTAAGGCTGCAGAATTTTTCTCTCCTTCATTTTCTCTTCCAGGTAGTAACATTATTCCAGGACAGACTTGTGGTCATGTTTTAGGTACTTTAAGCTGTGAACTTTTTATCATGTTTAGATTTAAATGTGACCTTACCTCTGACTCTCCTGGACTCGTCATACTTACTTTGGGGATTACTAACACATCCCTTTAATCTACATCAATATCAAGCCAGAAACCGAAAGAAAACACTTTAATGACTTGAAGATATGTAGTATCTGTCATGACGATATGCAATTTTGTGTGTATTTTATGGTGCGTGTGTGTGTGTGCGTGAGTGCGTATTTTGGGTTTTTCTTTCTTTTTAATGAACAATCAAGTGCCTGTTCACTAATGCAACCAAGCAGTGCAAAGCAGTTAGGAGTGAGGCTTAGGCTGTCTCTGCCTCGTGAGATCAGTGCGAAATTGTATGAGTCACTCTGGCCTCTAATTTTCAGTCCCTCTTGGCTGAGAAGGCTTTCAGTGCGAATGATGCTGCAAGGCAAAGAGGCAGAGAGGACGAGGAGGGAGCGGTACTATGTCTCCGTGCTTTTCAGACTCTCCCGAAATCTCTGCTCCAGCTCCTATTGACCTTGGAGCACCAATATAGGGAGTATCAAGAGCAGATTTAGTAATTAAAAAAAAAAAAAGAGAGGTGTCCCTAGGTGCTATCACCAAGACCTCCTGACATGCTTGAGGATGCTTTAGATGCTGCTGAGCTGCTGCAGCCCTAACTGGGCACTTGGCTGTATCAGGACAGACAGGGTAGGGTGGTAACTGCCTCAGCGAGCAGACGTTATGCTGGTCCAAGCACATGTTGTTTGCCTGTCTCTTACCTTAATGGACACAGCTGCTAAGCAGGTTTTTAATGAACTTAAATAAATAACAATGAATGGATTTACTTATAAATTCCCCCAAATGCATGTTGTGCTCAAAATAAAGCTGTACATTTGGGGAAGATGTGCTGCATTCTGTATACATTAAAACAAAAGCTGAAATGTAACTCGACCTGAAATGCTGAGTCGTGGCCACTACCTTCATAAACATTATAATTCAAGTGATAGATTTGGAGTGTCTTTGTAAGAATCAAAAATCTTTTCACTTTGCCTCTGTTTTATACAGGCATCTGCTTGGGCTCTTGTGGGGAATAGCTTTTAGTTTTTTTTTTTTTTAAAGCATTTCTAATGATACTTACTATTTTATTCAACAGACCTGTGGGTGCTTGGGACCTTGAAAACATTGATAATAAAGTGATGCTACTGTGTAAAGACTAAACTTGTCATCCTATATGAGAGGAGAGTTTGCAGAATACTTTAATAAATGGAAAGTCCATGGAGGGGGAAGAAAAAAGTGTCTGAGGTAAATTAGAAGATACTTTGTAAAACTGACTGTAGCTTATGTACTAGTCCTCAGTTCTTCTGAGCTTGTGCCCTTATAACTGAATAGTATAAATGCAAGGTTGCTCAGTCCAAGCGAAGCTTGCAAATATTTTGACAAAATTGACCAGATAGGGACGGACAGACTTAACTGCTGGTTCAGCCAATTATACTGGTGAGAATCCCCCTAAAACCTGCTTAGTTAAGTCTCAGGCAAGACGGGTTGTTGAGCTCAGCACCTAGCTGGCACTGCTCAACAGAGTCCACCTGAGCAAAGTGACTGGAGTGCACCCAACTGCAAAGGATTCATGCTCTTAACACTTCTGAAAGCTCAGCCCTTGACTGCAGCAGGGGAGCTAAAGCAGAAACCCTCCTCGCCTATCTAACTGGAGACACCGCTGTATAATTGTTTTTCTGCTGTAGAATACAGTGATTTTTTTTTTTTTTGAGTCCCTCCAACATCACTGCAAAGCCGTGTCTCCACTGAAAGAACTACAGACAGATCAACATGGTCCATCTACCCGACTTCAGTCAAAGACCATTTGCAGCACCAGAACAGAGTAGCACGTAACAGAAGAAAAGCCACTTTTGATGGACAGCAAAGTTCAGGCAATGCTTACTGCTATAGCTGGAGTAACTGCCCTGATTGTCTGGCTGGCTTTTCTGCAGAGGACAGATACTCTCTGTAGCAAATGCCGTGGGCACTGCAATTTAACAGTCTGGCGAATTAGTTTAAACTGGTAATGAAGTGTGAGCAAAGATGCTAGTTTGCATGGGCACGGGCAATCTCCCAAATCTGTTATGGGTTGGTGGTAATAGCTTAGGCTTCTACAGAAATGTTCCCGAGAGCTCACACAAGGCAGCAGCCAGGTTTTTTCAGAAGTAATTTGACAGCGGTACCTTCCAGTGATACCGTATTCAAAGGCTCTCTGGCTGGTCTTTAGACTTTGAGATAGGCTCACAGACTGACATGGCTTGTGAAGTTGGCAGCCTTCCTCAGAGAGAAGGCTTTTGTTAAACAAATGAACAGAGGTGAAGCAAACAGGTGCCTGCACAGCCCAGGCTCCAGATTTGTCCTTGATTACCAGTGCCCGAAGCACTCCTACATGGCTGCAGGAAATCCTGCAGCTGCAGGACATGCTGATGAACAAGGCAATCCAACCCAAATGTTGGCCCACTGTTCCATACTCTCGTGTTTTATCCAGTCCAAATCAGGGACTGGAATTCAGGGGGAATTCAGCACATTTTATCACCTCCTGCTTCTGCCTACAGTATCTTATCTCCTACTTGCCTTCTTTTTATCTACGGAGTTATATTTCGCAGAACACTGACAGTGTTCAGTGATGTTGAACAACCCACTTATTAAAATTCGATGTAGTGGGGACCTACTTGCAAAACAGGTATAACTTCTGAGCCCTCACACAGCCTGATGATTCTGGTTAGTCATCTCTGAACCTAGTTGCTTAGTCTCCATGTGAGTCTTTTTAGTTAGAAGTCTTATCTAATTAAGCATAGAGTAATCCCACCATCACCAGACCAGGATGTGAATAAGCAAGTACCACTATAACTAACAACGTTTTACTGCACAGTTTTCTACCATTAGTGCCCTAGAAGAGCCGAAGATTAAACACTACAAAGGTCTAAGTCTCTTCAGCAGCAAGCCTGAACATTGTTTTTTAGACTGTTCTAGTGATGTTCTTGAAGTTTATGGGTTACTTGTATTTTTACATATAATCCTCAAAGGTTTTATTAGGAAAGCTCCTATGTACAATTCAAAGCAAACAAAGAGGAGGGGAAAAAAACGCTTTCCTATGAATACAACACACAAAGCAATACTACCTGACATCGAAGTGTCTCCTGTGTCTACAACTTATTTTATAAAATAAGCTTCAAAAGTAACTCTTCTGCATTAGGACATTTATTCATAAACTTATTACTCTGAAAAATCTATCAGCAACTCTTCATTCCTAAGAAGGCCCAGCTCCAAAGTCACAAGCCTGCTGTTATAAAGAAACTTACTGGCACTGGCAAATGCTAGAACCTGACCCTGGAGGTAGTTCCACTTGGGTAGGGTCCTTGTCTGCAAAGACCACAGCAAAGTCGGGAGTGCTCAAGACAGCCACAGAACTGGCCTGCACAGAGTCTATTGTAACTCACAGCCTAAGGTACAAAGGCCCATTTACTCTCAGGTTTCTTCTATGGGGGCTATTGCAGACGGCTAAGAGGAGCAGCCTGCAGGGGGAGCCACTGCAAGCAGTGAAATCTCCTACCTTTCGGGACACGAGGAAAATTTCCAAGTGTATCAGCTACAATTCTGCTCCTCTTTGCTGAGCCATTTCTGTCAAATGGCCAATCTGTCTTAGTAGTTTCAGTAATTACTTGCAAGAGCTTTCGTTATAATTTTTCCAGTTGTTGCTGTAAGAAAATCACACATAGTAAAAATCTGTTAATAGGTACCTCTGAGGTTAGCAAGACTGACTTAATAGCCAAACAGTCAACCAGCCAACCCAATCTGCTGTATTCATTTATCGTTTGCATTTCTCTCAGCTCAGACACTGCAAGTGTCCTTTCGCTTTAGTTCACCATCAATTTCATTTCCAGAGTCTCGGTTCTGCAACAGCTTTCTCCTCAAAAATGGCAAAAGAAGGATGATTTTTACTGAACAGTTTTATTTAAATGTAGATTACAGAAACTTTCCTATTGATCTCAGATGGTAGAAACTGCGTGTGTGGAAAAATAGGGACCAATTAAGTGTGCGTTGTCCTGCTGGGTCCACCTAAATCACCTACAACATAGGCAAATAAATATTCCCTGTTCCTTTTTTTTTTTTTTTTTAAAAAAGGAGAAAACAAACTAATAAAGAAATTAGCCCAGGTTGTTCAAAAAAGAGTACTTCAGATTAGAACAAAGTGCTTCAGCTCTGTGCTCAGACCACTCGCCTCTGTATAGCTTAGTTTGGATTATTTTCTTTCCATGTATTCCTCAAGGCGCAGAAGCCATTTATTCCAGTACTGAGAGCACAGATCCGGATCCATGAAATGTGGGTGTGCTGGGGAGCCATTCTTATAAGCAACCACAATGAGTCCACAACTAACCTATAGTAAAAAAACAGGATGCTGTCAGAAATTCAACATTAACATGCAACTTCAGTCAACACTTCTAAAGGTTAAATTTCATTACAAAACTTCAGTTTAACATATAGTATCTTCAATAAGAAATAGGGAACCAAAAAGACCAATAATTCGCAATAAAATACTTGGAGACTAATATTCAAATGCTGAGAGTACAAAGGTCTCATCGACCTTAGTCGAAATTGATTGGTAGGGTCTATTTGCATCTTCCAGGTGCAGGCAAAATTCCCACCAACTGCTGAGGTTTTGCATGGGAGGATATAATCCTATTGATGCGATTGCAGCATCTGTCTGAATAGAAGTAGTTACTTTGGTATGTTCCGACATCTTCGACACTTGACAAACAGCCCTAATTCAAACCCCAAACAAGGGGGTGAGGGATTGGGATGACAGAAGGTTACTAGCAGAATCCTGCATATTTCACTGCATAAGGACCATGCCTGTTAAGTGCTCACGTGCACTGATCTCTTTCTTTTTCTAGAAAGTCCTTTGTAGAATCTATGAATTACCCTTTTCTCTCCTGCTTTAAATTTTCCCTTCACGGCTTTGTATTGAAATAACAGTCCTTCAGGTCAAGCAGGAGTCTTGCCTTTGGAGTCTTTAAAAACATTGCTCCACTGTTTACTGATCAAGTGATGGAGTGACAGCACATCCTTTTCTTCTGAGGAAGCACTGTACAGTGTACAGCACACTGTACTCTAAGGAAGTAAATCATGTAGTCTTTCACTTGCTAATGGGATAAAGCAACACAAAGTGAGGAACGCACTCCTGTCCCGTTTACCTGTCTGCATGCTCTTCTGCTTCACTTCCTCTTTCCTACTCCCTGACACAAACCAAAACATACAGGACAAAGCAGAGGGGATTGCCACAGGCTGAGTCCTCGCTGTAAATTCATCTGACTTCCTAAGACACTGGACACCTAGTTCCCACTGAGCAGGAATTTCCTTCAAACCAATGACAAGATACTACTGACAAGCAAAGGCAACAGGATTAGCAAGAGTACTGGAGTTATTTTAAGGTGCAGTTCTACGGCAACTCAACCTGATCTAAGGCTGGGCTGCTTTGTACAAGTGTACAAATCCTACCAATAGTTGCGTGAGGGACAGCTCGTGTCTGAAATCAGTAAGTGGGGAGAAATGAAAATAACACAGGTGCTGCTGCATGTCTTGGCAGGCAGCAGGCCTGCTTACCTGGAAGTCATAGTTAGCATCATGATTTATGGCTCCAATATATGCTGCAACCTGTAATGGGTTGTCAAAAGTGTTTTGCAGAGATGGCTTTGATTTCTCTGAAGTCTTCCAGTCAATCACACATAACTGCCCTCTGCATAACACAAGAAGAGAGGACAACGTTTTACCTTAAATTTAGTCCCAATAAGAAATAAGACATGGCACCAAAGAAAGGCACTTCACGCTCACCCTGCTTCATCCCAACGTCATGTTGCTCATTATCATATCCAGTCTAATTAAATATCTTCTGCACTGGTAGCTTAGCTCTCAGAAACCAGGACTTACTAATACTAGTTGAAGCTCTTGGCAACTGCAGAGCCTCGCTTAACCCCACCCTGCTCATACCCCACTCCAATAGGGAAACCTCCACAAGGAACAGCAGCACTTCTGACACCAGATTCACCTCTGAGCTCATCCATTTTGCCTCTCTCAGCGGTCTTCCCAGCTTTCCCCCCCGGAGCTCACCAACACACCTGTTCCAGCTTGGAACACAGCCTCCCATAAAACACAGAGCATCAAACGACGTTGACGTTTTTCGGTTTCTTAAAGAACCAGTATCTCACCGATACTTAGCCACGCAGTCTACCAGGCCTAGATACTGAAGAGTCTCATGTTGAACCGCACTTTCCAGAGCTTTTATTTCACTGATATCTTTTAAGACATGTTGTACGCTTGATAAGTAGCCAGAAACAGCAGTGTCTTCTCCTTGCCCCTTAGTTGGCATCTCTTCAGACAGAAATATAGATTCCAAAGTTGCATGAAAGAGCTTTCCTTGGAGGAAAAGATCTAAGAGAGACGTCAAAAAAACCCACATTTTAGGCTGTACTCATAATATGTGATGGACATGTGTACTAGATGTTACACAGCATAGCTCTTAAACCAATCCTGCTTTTTGTAGTGAAAGCTTCAGGATTTGAGGAGGAGAGAGAAACAAGAGAGAAAAAAGTTAAGTGCCAAGAGTGAAATTAGTATCTCTTATATTAATGACTATTCCCCCCCCCCCACTAATTACATAGGAACAAAATATGATCTTTAATTTCCTGCTCATTCAAAGGCATTTGCCAATCTCTATGAATTAAAAAAAAAAAACATTATTTGAGGCTGCTTATGAGCTGTTTGCTGTATATGCTAGTGCTATTGCGTTGGTTCATCTGAATTGAACAAATCTCTTCCCTCACTGGATGGACATAATTCTTAGGAATAAAGGGTTTAATGCAGAAATGATTCAAAAAGAGCATAAACAAAGCATATCTAGTTTTCAAAAGCATAATCATTTATGTTAAGGAGTGCTGAGGTATTTACCAATCTTGCTATAAGAAGCTACACACTATCCCCCAAGGGCAACCACCTCAGCACCATGCTGTCTTCACTCCTACAGCCTGGGGGAAGTCAGCTTTGTAGACTTTATGAAATAAAAACGTCTAAATGCATGGAATTTCAAAGAAAAGGTTGTATATACTAAAGCCCACAGTTACTTAAGAGCTTCAGCATTTAAAACACGACATACAGTTTTCTAAATACACAGGAGGATATGATTTCAGAATACAAATTATGCTTGCATCTGCAGACAGGCTCAATCAAATCAGCAGGAAATATATGTTGCAGATTTTAGCAAATGAACAAGTAATGGAGAGGCAGATAGGATAGAGCAAAAAATATCTACAGTCTAATTCTAGTTTCCCCACGAAATTCTAAATTAGTTTTAGTGGTCCTAGAACAAAGATTAGATTCATTAATAACAGGTGCCCTTCCAATGTGCTCTTGCACCTTGACATGGAAAGAGCAGAACAGATTTTCAAAACGTTTTGACTTCTAGGGCCAAATCCAGCAGCTATGCTAGTACGTCCCAGCCAACTATCCAGACTAGTGGTTCTACTTTGTAATCACACTGTGGTTAGACTTACTTTTAGTGTACTCTGCAAAACCGTCTTTCCCAAGTTTGAGTATCATTTTCTGTTTCCATCTTTCTAGGTAAAGGGCTTGCTGCGGAGGAATAGTCTGTTGAAGAATACTGGTAACACTGGGTATTTTGTTTCTTTGTAAGCTGATTTTCAGGGGAAGGTTTGAGTCACTGCCTGGAAGTGGAATTCTCTTGTTGGGGTTTACGAGAGGAACCCAGCTCTTTGGAGTTTTTGTTTCAGCGTTTTTAACTGGAGATCTATGTTTATCTGCTGGCCCATATAACAAATTGTCTTCTTCAAATAATGTCTCTGGTGTTTGGGAGCTGGTTTTGTAAGATGTCACAGAGCAGACCAAATTCTTGTATTTTTCTTGATCAACTTGTTCATAACCATTCACTTTTTTCTTCTTACTGTAAAGGCAAGTGGAGGTAGCCAGGCACATACACGGGACTGGCTTTTGGCACAAAGGTACTTGAAAGAGCATTTCCAGTCCCCTAGATTTCCTGAACAGTTGCTGTAGGAATTTCATTCTGAAAAGAAGCATTTGTAGGTATTTACAGTTTTCTTTCTTCTGTTAGGAACATTCTGTAGGTTACCATAACTTCCTCCTGTGGAAAAGAAATTTGTGATTTCCAGAGACAAAAAACTCTATTATCAATCTATTTTTGCTCTTTGCCAAATAAAGAACTGCCATGGTCACAAGTGTCTTCATACAATCGGTGCCACCAAAATTCCTTTAGATAAATAATACAGTAGCAGAAAGAACCAATAAACAGTGAAAAGAGGAAAGGATCCTGAAAAGAACTAGGGCTAGTTGGCAAAAACTGGAACAGGGCAAAAACATAAAAGATGGTGCAAGTAGAAAAAGCTGCAGTAGAGGATGCTCATGAAAGAAGACATAATAAACTCATCTGTAACAAACAACTTCTCTCAGAAGTGGGACAAGGAGAAAAAAGCCACGAAGAAGAGAATGAATGGATTTCTTTTTGCCAAGGTATTAAAAACAAGAGCAAGTTTATAGTGGATGCTGAACTTAAGGAGGTGGTGGGGACAAAGTAATTTTTGGAGAATAAAAACACGTTTTTCTCTGTTATACCTAGGAGAAAGCAAACAGTAGCGCTATGTACATGCTGGAATTGCAAGACCTGAGACTCGGGAAAACCAGAGAGATATCAAATAAACGGCAAGTAACTTCAAACTTAAATACATCTTTTGAAGATCATAGTAAAATAAATATGAAAGTATTTTTCCAAACTGAGCTTCAAAAATAGGAGGAGTTGTGTCCTTCAAAGATGCTTTGGAAGTTTAAAAAAAAAAAGTATACCAGATTTATTGTTCCCGGCATAGCTTTCAAAACCATAGTATAATTGCATTTGTAAGCCCCAGAAAATTTTACAAATATGGGTTAGATGTAAACACTTGAATAGTGGCATTTAAATCAACATTAAATACTCACAGAGTTGAGACCCTATTCTTTCAGAAATTATCTGCTTACTATTGCAAAGTTCCATTCCACCCTCTGTATAAAAAACAAATCAAAACAGGACAGGCGATGCATACTGCCAACCGACATCGGCTTTTTGTTCTTAAAAATAGCTTAACGTTACGTTTTGCTTTCCCCACACTTCTTACACAGCAATTCACACACTGTCCAAACAGCAGATGCCAAAGGAAAAAAAAAAAAAAACGTGAAGGCCCTGATACAAGGAGTTATTCTGGATGGAGAGATCCTGCACTCATGCAGAGCCTCACTGACATCAGTAAGGCTCTGTGTAGGTTGAAGCATCTCTCAAGCAGAACACTTTGCAAAAATGGGGCTATATCAGCTACAGTTTATTAGATCAAGCCATCTTGTAACAAAAGGGTGTGACCTTGGACCCTGGTTCCAAAAACATCGTTCTTCATTCGTGAAGAACAAAATCCTCCAGGTGTTAGAAGTTTTGTCGGAATAAAAAGATACCCTGTACTTTTCTTTACCGACTTTACATTTTCACACTGACTTCGCACGGTTTGGGAGGGCAAATAATAACTGATCTAACAAAAAGCTAGTGTAGAACATAAAGGGTCCAAACAGATGGCATGTAATCTGATACAAAATTAACCTGTCAAAAGCAGATAAATCCGAATGAGGAAAATCCAATTATACTGGAAGAGAACTTTGTGTCACGTAGCAGTGGTACTGGACCAGCATTTCTGACCCAGCACTAGGAGCTCTAAAGTAAGAGTTGATCAACTGTTGTATGATGGTCTCATTCAGTCTTCATTAAGGATTCCCTGTAACTACAATTCGTATCAACCCAAATAGTTAGCGATTTTAAAACGACTTCCTGGTCCAGAAGGGAGAAACAAAGTAAATAATGAAAGTACCCTGGTTAATCCTGCTACTGATTTTCTGCAGTTTCATTTGATAAAAAGTTACTTTAAAAGGAAAACCTTTCCACTTAAGATACTTTCAATGTGTCACTTCCCCTTTTCAATCATACGCAAACCTTAATCTGTTTTTCTTTTCCAGTAGGACTGTGCTATGTGCAGCTGCATCTGTTTTCTAATTTTCCAGTGCTCAACACTGAGAATGCTCTGTCAGTAAGCATCCTGACGTTCAGATTCAGTAAAAAGTACTCTCCTACATGCACTCAAAAAGAGATCATTCAGATGCATTACGAAAGGACAAACCAGTCCATTTCAACCATTTTATTTCCATGACAGCGTGCAAGTTTTGCCAAAAAGAGAACAGTCTGTTTTGGACAGCTTATACAACAGTAATACATTGGATTGTCTATGTTCTGGAAATTAAGTTCTACCTGGCTTTATTTCACAGACATTTGAGGCAGTTTTACAAATTTAAGTAAAACAAAATCAAATTTATGTTACCTCTAATTTTTTTATTTGATGGCATGAAGTTATTTCTACAGTTTGCTAGTTACAAATTTGTAAAAATTTCTGACAGGATAAAGAGGTACTTTTGAAATCAAGTATGCAACTGTTTCAATTGTTTCAGTCCTCCTTAGGTTTCCAGCCAGTGAATTCTATATGCCCGAATTTCTACTGCCCATTGTTCTGATAAATTTATTTTTAAGAAGCACCTTGCATGATGTTATTTGATTATCATAAAGCAGCTCACTTCTGCAAAGCTGCTTTGCCAAGATTTACAGTAACTTATTCTTCTCAGAAGATGATTACATTTTTAAATAGGTTTTCAGTCTTGGAATGGGATTGGCTACCTGTCAGAATCTGCCACTTGCTGAAAAAGAAATAACGAATAGTTTTAGCACAGTTTTCAGTTTGCTGCAGGAGATCACAGAAAGTGGTAAGGGCAGCAAAGGCATATATAAAGATCAGACCTCAACACCATAGGTAAAATGTTTCACGGTATTTTTTTTCTTTTTTTTAATCATAGAAAATAAGGCAGGAAAATTAATCTCTCCTCTCTTGGGGTATGCTTCTAAAGAGTTACTGGGGAAGTGGTTTAATCTAAAATGGGGGAAAAAAAAAAACCCTCTTATTCCAATCTAATAGTATCCAAGCTTGTAGTTTCTCAGGCTATTGTCTGATGACTATTAATATGCTTACCAAAGTGTATTAATCAGAACAGAATAAAGCCTGGTTAACGACTGTGTACTTGTTGACTTAGCTAGAGCACAAAAGAAAAGGTTTATGGTGGAAGTTTGTCTGTCAGCTGCAGGAGGCAAAATGATACCTGACCCAACAAATAAAGCTCACTTGCACTAAGCTGTCCCCTCAATGTTTTTGGAGAAGTAAATTATACCAGATTACATAGCTACAAAAATGCACACTATCATGAGCCCTAGAGCTGACTGACTATATTACTGCAACACTGCCTCAGTGATACCTAGCATGAAATTTAAATTCACAGACAAGTTTTGTTCTGGAATAATACTTGTGGAAATCTTTGCACATGCTATGAACTGAACTGCAGGAAAAGGGAGAGTCTGTAGTTTGTCAGTTGCTGCGCTGTTCTAAGGATGGAGAGACATTCTAGGGCTAAGAAATAAAGAACAATTGTATCTAACGGACTGAAAAATCACATACGTTGTTTAGTTAATTTCAGTGATACTTCTGTACAAAGAGCTACTTACATTTACAAGAAAGATGTGAGGCCGTGTGTCTGGATCTACTCTCATACAGACAGAACAAAACTTGATGGATATTTCTCTCAGTGGAAGTGTCTCTTTTTTCCTTCACAATGTTTCTGTTCCAAGACTGGTGAATTTGTTTCAAGTACTGCAATATGAACGAGACCTGAGAATTGATGCAAAAAAAAAAACAAACCCTGGAAAAAGAAAAAGAAGGACTTCTCTTAATTTCCCCATGCTAGTTGACTCTGCAGCTCCAATAACTATGGTACTAATACAACTGAAAAAAGTTGTTCTGGGATAGGAATGAATGGCTTAAGTGAGGGCAATGAAAGGTATTACTTAAGTATGCGTTCACATCTGCACAAATATTCCTCCAGCTATGGTTTCAGACAATAACCAGTATAGCTATTTCTTCACAGTCACCTACCAAATAGCAAATACAAGCACCATTTCACTTTAGAGACAACAAGAAAGAATGCTACTTAACATAGTTACAGACCTGTTGCCCCGTATCCCCGTTTTGAGGAGAGGAAATATATTGATAAAGGCATAGTTTTAAGTTAACATCACAGAGTTTTCTCTGGGAAAAAAAGAAGCATTACTATTTGATGGTGAGAGGCAACAGCAGCCTACCTTCCTGGTCAAATAGACCGCTTCCCTTTTTTTCCCTGGTTATAGCTTAACAACGACGGAGACGCCAACGGAAGGGCCTCTACCACCTGCTGTTCCCTGCCACAACCACTCCTCCGCGCAGCGTGTAAACTAAACTGAGTCCGGTTAAAAAAACACATGCCGTCCCCTGCTTCGGGAAGCTAAGCGCAATGAGAAAAAGCGTGACTTTTAAATAAAACAGGCCAAGCTGCTGCCCTCCCTCAGCTAATCCAGGCCCGGACAGAGAGGCGGGCACCCCTTCGCCTCGCACCACAGAGCTACCAACGCCCGAACCGCCCCGAGCCTGCCTA